CATCAGCTGTGGGGAGAAGCTGTCACAGCCAAGGACTGGAGAACCATGCCCGGTAACAGAGCTCCAGTGGTGTGTCCACCTTGCAGGCATCCAGGCTCCCTGACTTTGCTGTGAAAGTAGCCCAGATTGTATGCTGTTAAACAAACAAGCTGACATAATTTCTAATTTCATTCTTCTATTGGCTTTTCCCTAAAGCCTCACCTGTGGGATCTCAGCACATTGGCCCTGATGTGCAGAGACACCGAGATAACCCTTGGGGGGCTCGGAGGTCCTGGAATGTTGCCAGAAGTGTCTGGTGGCTGGACTTTGATCCTGCACAGGAGACGACACCTGTATGAGGATGGGAGGATCACACTGGGATAAATGGTGAAGGGATAGGTTAATTATAGAGTGAAACACAGGTTTTAGAATTTCGGTACAGGGGGGTCTAGAGAAGTAAGATGGAGGAATTGGGGCGTGTCCTGTTCTTCTTCTTCTTCTTCTTGGCCTCCATCTTCTGTGGTGGTGGTGGCACTTTGGGATTGGTTCTTACTAAAAGTGCACTTGTCAATAAGGGTGAAAAGCATTGGGGAAAATAGGTAAATATCTTATACGTAGTTTTGGGTATAAAGATAAGTGACTGCCCCGAAGGCAGACAGTGTGTCCATGGCTGGCGTGCTGTGCAGACCTCTGTCGGGCCGAGAGAAAATCTTGTAGATAAACACTAATAAACACTGAAGACCGAGAAAAAACCTGAAGACTCTTTTCGTCCTTTGGAGCGCGGGCTGTCCCAAGGCCTTCCCGAGCCTTTCCAGGCCATCAAAAACAGCCGAGAACGGGACACTCATCAGGACTCCAGGAGGAACCAAGGGAGTTGTCTTCAATCCTATACACCCCTAGTAAGGCATTCCCAGGTTTCTAGATATGGAAAGGTTTGCAAATAAATGAATACATATAACAGTACTTTTATATAGATAACTTTTGGCTGGACTGTTCACCTAGAGGTTAACTTTGGCTCAGGGGCTGTTGTTTAGACTGTAGTAGTTAACATAGCAACAACCAAAACATCCTGGTGTTCATGAGAACATTATTCTCAGACTAAATCCAAGTTACTGACAAGAATATGAACTCCGTCCCTGTAGGGGGATAGAACATAAGTAAATAAAGGTAGTACAGAAAGTAAACAAGTAAACTTACCCCCCTAAAGAGTTGCAGCTGAGCCAATTACTAAGGATTAGGAGCAGGCCTGATGTTAACAGGCCACAGCTGTAGGCAATCAGAAGAGTGCTATGAAAGAGTGGATCGGTTGGCTGAGGGGAGGACAAGGAGGAGTCAGTGCCTGGAGGAGCTGCCTGCAAGAAACATCAAGGAGGTATGAAACTCTAGCAATATGGAACCCTTGCAATGTAATGACAATAGAACTCTTGCACTATAACAACAACACGTCCCAGCCAAAACCAGGACACTGATGAAGAATTGTCGTGATATTTGGATTTTTGGTTCATTAAGATCTCAAAAAAAAGAGACTTTTCTTTATACTGATTGGAAGATGAGCTTATATTGGTTTTGCTGGCATAGACTGTTCTGCCACTGATCAGGTAAATCAACATGCCTAGTAATGCCTAGTAACACAGCTAAATGTTATACATATAAATATGTGTTGCAGTGTGTTTTTATTTTGCAGGTTGTTGTTTGATTTGTTGTTTGGTAGTTTTTTGGACCTTTTTTCCCCCTGCTTTTAGAGTGACACAGCCTTGTTTTGTTATTCAATTGAGCCAGGTGTTGGTTTATCTCTTCGCTACTTAGCTACTTTTCTGCCAAATTTCAAACCCCTTCCTCCCACATCCAGTTGTTGACCCCTCCTGTCCCAAGCAGTTTTTAACCCTTGTATCCCTTGCCCTTGTGTTCCACCCCCAGTGCTTTTGATTAGTTGAACATTGTGTCCTCCCTTGAGACCTGCCCCCCTTTATAAGCTGTTGGTTGCCCCAGCTCATGCCTGGGACCCTGAGGCTCGGGGAGTGTAACATCAAATAAAGGAACCCAGTGCCACCCCAGGCCCGAGCTGCTGCTGTGGCCTTTTTGTTCTGCGTTGTGCCTCCACTGGTAGCTGGGATCCTGCAGAGCCCTGAAAGAGGGGGACTGTCCTCACCCCACTGTCACCATCTAGCCGGAAGGTGTGACAAATATGTATATTTACATACATGTAGTAGAAGAAAGTACTGGATTTATTGTTGTTTTTCCTTTTGATGATACATTTTAAGAAGAAATTCACAGTCAGATCTATTACCATAAAACTAGTTTGCTTTTTCTGTTTATTTAGTACATTTACAGCTTCCTTATGGAAGCACAAAGAGCTTCTGTACTTGGTATTTATGTCTATGAAGCCACTGTATTGTTAATTCTGGATTCTTCTCTGTCTTCATTCAGGTGTGTGCCCTAGAGGCAAACTCTTACTTTTTATTTGTAGCATCTCTTATAGCCAGATATTTTTTTAACTGTACTTTAAACAAGGGTCTGTGAAAAAAAATCTCATCTTTGTGTTTTTTCTTGTTATAGTACTAGGAATAACTAGTTATATGTGCTTTAAGGAATTGTCAGAAATATTTGAATTTAGAAGGTAGAAACCTGAATAACATCTTTTGTGCCATTGATTATAGTAACTATTTGGTTACCTTTTGTAGTCCCTGATGTGGTATTTTACTGATCTACACAGTCATTCTATACTGTTACATGAGATTAGGAAGAAATAAAAATGCTGGTTCTTCTGTCAGGATTACATAAGAAAAACACAGAATTACTATTCTCAAATCAGCAGAAACAACCTCTGCTTGATGAAGTAGAGAACTGTTGATGCAGCTGCTGAACCTGTGGTTGGTCAGTATGATGTGCCTTCCTCTGCATATGCAACCTGGGAACAAAATGGAGCTCTACTGATTCTGAGGCTTGGGGGATGCGTGAGACAAGATTTCAATCTCATCTTTGCTGTTGAATGTAGGTACATTGAGACTCAAGAGTGAAATATCTAACTTGCAGTATCAGATAGCTGTGGGATAAATTCTTACTGTGTGCCACGAGCCAAGAGGTGTACACAGGAAATTTTGAATATATGAAGAACTGTTTCTTGGTAGAAGTGTGGAGGAATACTTGTAATAGGTAATATGGACTGTGCTCTGGAGCATGCTGGCCTTGATTTACTTCTCTTTGCATTCCAGATGAAACAGAAAGGCTCTCTGTAGTGCCAGGTTAAGGATGTTTGCATTGACCTGCTGGAAACATGAGCATGTGAGAATGTAGTTCAAGGGCTCAAGTGTTGATGCAGGTGGTATCAGGAAAAACAATTACATGATGACAGTCCCTAAGCAGGGGTAGAATGGAGCTGGTGAAGGAGGGGAAACTGTACAGAGGAATAATGTCTATTTCCATAAGGGGCTAACTAGCAAAAAAACTCTCATGAGTATGCACCATACCAAAAAAGTGTAAGGGGCCACCTACCTGGTGGGTTAGGATAGGTGTACAAGACTGTAAAGCTGGCATGCCTCTAGGTATTACCTTTCCTCTCATCCCAGGTCCTTAATTTTGCTTGCCTTACCACTTGAATTGCAGAGCATCTTGTTAGGAATCACAGGAACAGAGAGGACTGGACCCCTGTGCTCCATGTTGATACCCTTCCTGCAGCTTTGAATGGGAATAATGCTTTAGTTATTGAACTTGTCCTTGAACTTTGGGCATGTTTATACAGAAAGGCACCTTTCATGATTACCAGTTTACTCAAGCAGCAACACCAACACAGGACTCCTCCAGCAGAGACTGCAACAAGCAACAGCAGACTTGGATAGTGGCCACAGCTCCCATAGGCAGTTATGTCAGGGTAGTAATCTCCTCGTGTTCAAATAAATCTCCATAGATAAGGTGTATCTAAATGTCTTCAGGGTGAATCAAATCCTACTTCAAATTCTGCCACACAAAATAGTACACTCTTTAGTTTTCTTTGCCAGCTGCTTTTCTTTTCCAGTTATCTCCTGGTCCTGTAGTTGTATTTTGCAGCTGTATAAGTAACTCAAAAGTGCATTCTCCTACGGTTGTACTTCCTTATTTTTCATTGTATAAATAGCACAGGTGAAGGTAGGGGTGGGACAGCTACAAGGACAGAATCACATCGCTCAGTGACATAATTGTAAATTGATTTACTAAGCAGAGTAAGTAAAGTGAGTCAATTCCAGTTTCTGCTCTGTGCTGTGCACACTTGGAATGTGTGGTCTGGACTACTGGCCTGGACGCAGGGCCTGGAAGTTGCAGCACGCGCTCTGCTCATTCAAGGTGCCTGATGATTGTGCACATCCCCTTCCAGCGGGTTTGCAAACCGTGCCTTCCACAGTGCCAGCATCAACTGCCAGGGGCCTTCCTAACCACACAGTCCCAAACCAGTCTCTGGGAATCTCTGGTTTCTGGCTGCCACTGCCTTAGGGTAGCGCAACGTTAGGAACAGTCACGGTAAACAGCTGATTCATCACCTCTTAGGTATTCATATGGATTAATCTCGTCAAGGCTGGCCTGTCTTAAGGTCGCATTTATCTGAGCCACGTTTTTGGGTGGGTTTTACCCTCTGACAACTGAACGAAGTTGAAGAATCGTGCAGATCATTTTTAATATGTCTTCCTTAGGCCCTGCCAAGCACTGGCTTTGGCCCTTTGGCGATTCCCAGAACGTCAATTCAGATTAAACAGGATGAGAGAAAGTAGGTTGCAGCACCATCTCCTCGGTGTGACTCGGGCCGGGAGGTTACCAGCTCCAGGGTCAGCCGTATAATTTAATCAGATCGGGCCCGATGTCGGCGTTCAGCGGGGAGAACAGGGAAGCGGTGCGCGTCCCTGCCGTTCTCCCCGCTCCGGGAGCGCCCCGCGCCAGCCGCACAGGCCGCGGCGCCAGCCGCACAGGCCGCGGCGCCTCCTCGCCGCCGGCCGCGGCCGCCCGGGCCCGGGGCGGGGCCGGGGGAGGGCGGTCCCGGCAGCGCCGCTCCCGCCTCCGCTCGGCCTGGGCCCGGCGCGGGGCCGCTGGCGGGCGGGGGAGCGCCATGGCGCTGGGCTCGGCGTGGAAGCAGATGTCGTGGCTGTACTACCAGTACCTGCTGGTCACCGCGCTCTACATGCTGGAGCCCTGGGAGCGCACCGTCTTCAGTATCCTTCTGCCGGCCGGGCCTGGCGGGGCGGGTGCGAGTGCGGGGCCGGGGCTGCCCCGCTCCCTGCCGCGCTGTGTCCGGCGGCGGCTCCGGGGCTGCCCCGAGGCCGCCGGGCGGGTGTGGCGGCTCCGCCGGCCCTGCGCGGAGCTCGGGGAGCGCCAGGGCCGGGGTCCTGCTGGGGGCGCTGCCGCCGGCGGGGCTTGCTGGGGGCGGCGGAGAGTCGGGCCGGGAGGGGAGCGGGGCCGGGGGCAGCCGGCCTGAGGCGCCGAGCGCGGCCGGAGGAGCGGCAGCCTCCGCCTGGGACCGAGGCTTGACCTCCCCTTGCTAGCGGGGACTCAGCTCCTCACCATAACAAACTAACATCCTGCCCGGGCTGGGAGTAAACCTCGCTGGGAATAAACCGGCATGTTTCACATGCTGTGTCCGGGCGTCGGGCAGCCCAGTCAGTTTCTTGTCCGGCATAAATTTATATGTTTGGATTTACGGCATTTGTGGCTTTTGCACTGAAATCCCGACCTTTCTGTTAAGGATAAGTGTCTTTAATGATTTCTTTTGTATTTTGCCTAGAGGAAAGTAAATGTGCACGCTGCAAGACCTTGCAAACCTAGGCTTTCATGCTGCTTTGTCACGTGGCTTTTATTACGTGGCTGTTTAATCCTCGAGCTGATAAGTTTGCTTGGCTGTTTTACAGTGGAAGAACTTGACAGATGCTCATGTAAAGGCGTCTCTATAAAGACTGTTTATAGGTTTGCTCCTTTACCTGGCCCTTTCGTACAGGCAGTGCATTTTCTTAAGTATTGCTGTGGCATCACAAGTATTTTTCTCTGTTTTTTTTGTTCTTGACTTAAAATGATGTCGCAATATGAGTGACCGTGAGCCATCTCCAGTTAATGCTGAGCGATAGAGAGAGAAATTAATTAAAACATGAACATAGAGATGGGTATAAGCAGTAGCAAGAAGCTGCTTTTGCTGAGATTCTGCTTAGTTTTGTAAAGAAACTCACATTTCTTATGTAAAAGCGGTTGCCCAAGTTACAGCAGTGTGATCAGTCTCTTTTTTCCTGTCTCTAGTCAGTAGAAATGGCGATTACTGGAAAAGAGAAGTAGTATGTTTTATAGACTTACTGTGCACAATTGTGCAGGTAGGGGCTCTTATGTTGTATTCTGTGTTAATGTACCTTCTTCCTTTTATGCCATGCCTGTATCCCTGAGAAAATCTAATTTTTGTTTTCCTTGCAATTATATTAGTCTTGAGTACTTTTTTTTCGTTTTTACCTTGTGCGAAATAGTTAAGTAAATGAAAGCGTGTGGATGTTTATTTTCATAAGATGTTCATATTGTAATTTCCACATAAGGTACAAATGTAAAGAGTGGCACAAACATCACTTCTGATGTCAGATCAGCAAAGATGTTTTTTGTCCCCAAGCTGGATGCTTTGGCCGTAGGTGGGTCATGGCTGGCGCTGTATGGATGCAGTGCGGGCACAGTGGCCTTGGGAACTGATGGTGCGTGGCTGTGCTACAGTATCAGAAGCGAGCACTGATATGGAAATGTGGATTTATGGCCTGACCTTCATTTTAGTATCTCACTGTATAATCCTCTGGGACTATAAATACACCAGGCAGCTCCAGTAGGTGCACTCATAGCTGTGCTGTGCCGCGGGCGAGTTGGGCGTGGAGCGCATGTTACGCCTGTGCTGTGCAGGCTTGGTCGCACAGAGCACGCACAGCTCCTCGGGTTTCACCTGTGGAAACTGAGTGCTGCTGTCTGGCCTTATCATGCTTGTTAATCTCCAGTGTGTTTTACAGTGTTTGGGGCTAAGTTTACTGAATCTCTGCAGGCAGTTGGATGGAATCAACGGATTTATTTTATTCATTTTGTGTTGCCTTGTCAAGGCTGACCTAGAACAGAGGCTAGACAGAGTCAAAGAATAAAGCAGATATTTATTAAAAGGCCTCAATGGATACACCTTGGGCAGTACAAGAGCCCAGCCAGGGCTACACCCAAGATGAACCCAAAATGGCCACAAAAGGGACAACCATTCAAAAGAGAGGTCTCTCACTTTTATAAGTTTTGCTCCATTAGCATATTGGAGTTAATTGTCCAGTTATAGCTTTAGTTTATGAAGTCCCATCCTTCTTGTTTTTCTCTCTTCAGTCCACATTGTTTATGCCTGAAATTTGGATCAGTTGTCCTTGGTCCCAAGCTAGAAAAGGAATTGTTTTGTCTAGCTACTCTGTGAAGAGAGCTTACCATCCCTTGATATGAAGCTCAGAACTACACACAAAAGCAGTGCAGAATCTAAAAAATATAAAACCTAAAACCTAAGGCATTTTTCCCCCCCTTCTTTTTTTTGGGGGGGGGGGGGGGCTTTCCTGTCTCTTGTGATGCCAAAATTTGTTTAGGTAAAACTTCAAAAGCCCTAGAGGTTCTCTGAAGTCCAACTGTACATGTACTTTATAAGCTATTGTCTCAGTTCTCTATATACGTTTTACAAAAGCTCCCTGGTATGAGTTCAGCTAATAAAGTGGTTATCTGCAGATTTTTTAGCAGATAGCTTCACATGAAGTTTATTTTGCAGCACAACCTCCTATAGTAAAGCACTAATGAGTGTGTTTATTTAAGTACACACCTTGCCTCAAAACTATGCTGATGCTCTGAGGCATTGTGAGTGAAGTAGTTAGAAAGCATCTTATGCTGTCTGCTTAAAAAGGCAGTCATCCACAAATAAGAATGGTGTTGCTCTTATTCAGTAAAGCTGCTCATATTATTGTAGTTTTGTTTTTTATTTTTATGGTGGTTGATTTTTTTCTGTTTGGCTGAATGAGACTGGCTTCTGCAAGACTTGCTCAACATCTGAGAAGATGAATGTGAAAACGTGTGTTTTCTCAGTGCCCATTTTCTGTTCTCCATCACACTTCCCATGCTCTCGTCTGTCCTCCTGTGTCACTGACAAGGCAGTGGGGAACTTGCAAGGCATCCTTTGCAGTTCAGCTGATTGCTTCTACTGGCATTCGGGTTTTCAGTGTTCAGGCTTGTAATTGCTGAATACAGTTGATTGTGTCTGTTTCAGAAACATAATGTTATAAGATAGTAACAACAAAAGTTTTAATGCTGTAGTTTGTGATGTCTTCTGTGGTTTCTGTTTCAAGAGCTTTTTTCCTCAACTGTAGTTCAGATTCCATGCTAGTTTCCATTGTTGGAATGGCACTGTACACAGGTTATGTGTTCATGCCTCAGCACATCATGGCAATATTGCACTACTTTGAAATTGTGCAGTGATGAAGAACATGTTTTCAAGAAGTAACCGGGCTTTGAAATCTGGTCTACAAAGAAGAATGAACCTCTCAGTTTTACCAAGATTTCTACTGATGTCTGAAAGACACAATAATGACTCTGAAGACTAGGAAATGAGATGCGTAGAGCAGGGACGTGAGATGTCCCCTGTGTTGTGTTCATTCCCTTTAATTTTACAAGATATGCCCTTGTATAGTAGTTTTGTCTACTTTAACATTGTGATTGTACTTTGATATCAGTATTTTCTTAACTTTGTGACAGTTTCAATATTGCACTGTGAAAGCTTTTCTTAATTGTACTTTTGAGTAAATCTTAATTGCCTTCTATTTTTAATCAGAAAGTCATCTTATTAAATGGGGCTTAAAGCTTTTGCTATTGTATGGTATGTATTTGCCTGGATATTTCTATTAATGCATTTTGTAAGAAAATACATCTAGATTCATATTAGAGACATGGATATATTCGTCTAATCCTATTTACAAAAGCTAGTTTGTATGACTGAACTCAGGTGTACTGTTCGCTGTCCAAACTTTGTTCAACAGTATATTTGTGCATATCACCTAAATTTGGAATCAGCAGTTATTTCAAGTTTCTGTATTCTACCTGTGGGAGGAGGGAGGGGGAGATGAGGCATTGAAGCAGAGTGAAGACTGCATTCATTATGTTTTTTAGTAGTGCTGTGGTTCTGGGCTCTGGGTGGGGGGGAAATGGACTTTTCTTTACTGGCAGTGGCCCACATATGGCTTTGGGATAGCACTTTAAACCAACCATTTTTCTAGCTACCAATTCACTTTTACAGGATGCTTTATTATGTTCCAGTGGCTATGGTTTCTGCTGGTTTTCACTCAACAGTGTAACTACGTCTAGGTTTTCAAGGAGTTTTCTATTGCTGCTAGTGTTCCAAACATGTTTTCGCTACAAACGACCAAAACATAGGGATTTTCAAGGGACTTGAGTTACAACTACAGCAATAAGTAGCTGAATACTTGGCTGAAGTCCTGTCTTTTTTTTAATAGGGATTTTTTTCAGTTTTGTATTCTGAAATGTAAGAGGGTAACAACTTAACTTTGCTAAGTGGACAATTTTTTTGTTGTTGTTGTTTAAAAAATAAAAGTTAAAAAGCAGAGCTTTGATGCAAAACTTTCTTGGAGAAGTTAATCTGTTTCCGAGTGCTTGCTTTTCTCAGAACTTCCCTAAAGTGACACTTGACCAAAGAACTGTGATTTTAATGGCCCAATAATCAGTACTGTGACATCTTTTATGCAACATCTGTTGACATCAGAAATTGTAGATTTACAGTATCTATAGGGATATTGTCTTTCAGATTATTTCATTTTCTCAAATGTGTACTCGTGAGAAGAGAGTGTTTTTCCCTGTATTTAAACTTCATATGTATTTGATTAAAAACCCTGCTGTTGTTTTGGGAACTAAAAACAGTGAGCCTTAAACTTCTTAGGTGAACCTGAGATTTCCTGAAGTTGGTAGGAGTCTCCCTCTAATTCAGTGCTTTCACTTCTTAATAACTGGGCAACAAAACATGGATAGGTTTCTGGGATTGTGTTTTTTGTTATTTTTTGTGGTGTTTTACTGTGGTTTTATTTAAATGTATCCAGAGTTGTATGTGCACGTTATAAGTGTATACATGGAGATATTGATAAGTTAATGTACTCGTTTTGAAGTAACATAGCATAAATCCAGTCTCTCTGTGAATTAAATCAATACTTGATTGTGATGTTTTTTTGCAAACTACTACCATGGTTGATAACCTCTTTTCCAGCAGTAGATAATGTTATTTGTATGAGGGTGAGAAAATCCCTTCTGTGTGGTGGCATTAGGAATGTTAAGCATGATTTTTTAATTGTAAAATACTTTTTAAAAGGCCTTTGGTATACTGACTTTTATTAGCTGCTTTTTGTTGAGAAAAAAAAGAGTAACCATAATTTTCCACTTACTTGCCTTATGTTGGCTTGATTGATTCCATACTTAAATTCAATTTGCTAATTTGAGTACAGTCTTTTTCAGTATTTCTTTTAGTATAAATCAAGAATCTATTAGTCTTGGACAGTTCTTTTTAGGTTCTGAATACTTTATTAAAGATGGAGTAATTTCATTAATAAAATATGTGTTTGCTGAAGTTTAAATTTCTAGAAGAAAGTTTTTGCAGTGTGTCCTTTTGTTTAGGTTGAGCTAGTGAAGAAACAGTTCAACTGGTAATAATTGCAAAGCAGAGATTTCTTTTTTAACGTAGGAGTATTGGTAGGGATTTAATTAATCATTACATTTGAATAATAATAAATGAATCAGAAGACTACCAAGTTGTTTTCCCACTGCAGTCTGCCTTATTGTCATGTCAGCTGTCATATCCTTTATGATAGAACCATAAGTTTTTTTTTTTTTTTTGTGCAAGCTGGAGGTCAAAGACAGTTTAAATATCATTTCGAGGCAGCTGGTCAATCATGCTGTTGTTCAAACATGTTGATAAAAATTGAGGCATTAGTAATTTAGGTAAAATTGGAAAAAAAAACAATTGTGAGAAATGAGAAAAAAAAGTTACCTGAGAGACATGCAATTGACTGTCTGTTAATCTTTTAATAGTAGTAGCTCTTGGGGTTTAGATTGCATCATTAGAAATAAGCATTTAAAAATGCATTAGGTGTGTCATATGGCAGAACTGATAATTCCAGTTTGTGAGGCAGCAGACTGAGCCGGGGTGACTTGCTGTGCTGGAGGCCCTGGGGCTCCCAGAGCCAGCTCTGCAGAGGCTCCTTGGCTGCCTCCAGGGCTGGCTACTCTACAATTATTTATTAAAAACCTTTGCAGAAGGAGCTGCTCTAACCAAAACAGGCATTGTATTGCAGAATGTCAGGCTGGAGCCAGAAACAGATCCAGGACCTGTGTAGTGTCTGTATGGCTTTAATCAGTTATATCTTTTTATATATATGCACAAACTCTGTTTTATCAGTATATGTGTGTATGTATATATATGTAAATACTGTTTATTTCTTGTCAAAAATTATTACGTAGCAATTAGTTTGGAGACAGTGAGAGGCAGTGGAGTTTCTTTTCTGGTTTCTTCCCTATGAAGGAAAACACCAGAGAATCCTAAAGTGAGACTTTCTTTACAAAATTTTGTAAGAAAAATATTTTGTATATCCATAAATATTAAAAAGAAGTAGGCGTGAAAGGAGCATAGCACTGCAAAGGGGAATCTTGGGTGATAGATGGGCATTGTGTAACTGCAGACTGGTGTGATTGCCTTGCTCCATTCAGGTGAAGAAATGAAGTGTGCATTATAAATGCTGAAGAAGGAGTACTTGCTGTTGACTAACAACAAATAAAGGTTATACTGAGGTGAAGAGTCACCTTGAAGAGAATTGGGTACCTTAGGCTGTGCACAAAGGTGTGGACAGAGTAGCCATCCTGCTTTGGTAAAATACCAGAGCTGTGGACTCTGGAATTGGCACCCTAATAAAGCTTTTCTGTGCCAGAAATTCCTTGCACCTTCTTGTTTGCTTGTGTGTTCTACAACTGCTATTGTAGGAAGACAGGTTTTCCCCACTTGCTGACTGACATGTTATCTTGTTACCAGTGTGGTGCTTTTGTCTTTTTTTTTTTTTTTTTTTCAGACAAAAGGAAGCTGAAACCTTTATGCATTGTTTTTCTGTTTGATCTGCTAGGTCAGCCTTCAACAGTAGTCATCACTGAACACAATAGCTCCTGTCTTTTCTGCCTTTTGTTTGTGACGTGATGACTTAAGAAGAAAATCTGGCATCATAGCCCAGAGCTGGATCTGCCCTCTCCTTGTAATGGAGAGAGATGAATGTCTAGGTCTGATCTAGATTCCAGTGTAGGATTTGGGCAGAAATCCCTCTGCTTTTCATAACCTTCAGTGCATCACCACATCAATCCATCTTAACTAGCACTGCATGAGGGAACACAAAGAAGTTATGAAGGTATGAAGAACCTTGTCTGAGAGTTTAGCTGGATAAGAGTTGAACAGGTCTTGATTTAAACCTTAGTCAGTGATCCAATTTCTAAAGTAAAAGATCTTATCACATCATTGGAACTGATCAAAGTGTTGATCACCTATTGTATGATGTATCTGGTGTTTGTTTATCCCATATCTGCAGGTGGAATTGTCTCAGCATGTCTTGCATTTTGTGTTCTCTGCAATTTGGGATGGATAACATCTCTCGGGCCCAGATTTTACAATGACAAGAAGATGCACTATATAACCCCTATATAAAAGAACTTCTTTGGGGAAAAAATTGCCATGGCAATGATATTATTTGTCTTTTCTGTGAAATTTGTTTTTGTCTACTGAGGCAGAAAAATCATGTAGCTATGATCACACTGGAATTTAAACCAAATGTCTTCTGGCCAAGGTTTATGTTCCTTTCTTGCCTCTGCAGTGATTGGCTGTTGTGCTCTCTTCCAAGAAAATATTCAAGATGTTGTTACTGCACATACTTCAAAAAGGAAGAAACAAATGCCTCAGAACACATATCTATCTCTCTGTTGCTGTTTAATGCACACTGGTAAGGTTGTGAAATTCTGGAAGATGTCTTTGAATAATATTCTTGCTGGAATAATAGGACTGTCTTGTTAGCTCATCTGAGGAGTGATCCACAGGCATGCATGCACTCTGAAGTTGAATACCTAGTTGAGACTACTGGCTAGTGCTAGACTGCTCACAGCTTATTATTTTGCTCATGTTATGTTACCAGCTCAAAGTAAGCATTTTTGAGAGAAAGCCTCCTGTGCCACATCCCAGGATCCAAGAAGTTTATATACTTAAGTAATACTTCCTGAATTTTAATCAGAATTAGCAAATAGTTCCCAAACTCAGGATAGAATTAGTAGATGATTTTTTGTTAGACTTGTTTTCAAAAAAATCTTCAAAACCCTTTCTGTGCTGTAGAGTATTTCAGTAGGTTGGACAAAAAAGTAGTGCTCAGCTCAGTGTGACTGAGGATAAAATGTACAGTCTGTTTGTCTTAGACCACAAAGAGGGACTGTTGAACTCTTGATTTTCTAATCAAATGGAAAGGTTGACTTCACTGGAAGGGGATCAAAGGACTATCTGTACCCAGAGAATAAGTGACAACTTCTGTGGGACTGTGAGGCTTTCTGGGTCAGGACAATGCAGGGTCTGCCTGCACAATGTGATGCTGCCTAATGCTGAGATCAGAAGTGCCCTGCAGAAGGACTTATGCCACTTCTCTACATTTCCTTGAAAAGAGAGTTATATTAAGCTATACTTACATTGAAAAAAGTTCAAGTGTTTGTGAGGAATCATGAAGAACTGGAAGTAAATCATGGCAGCTGTGGTCTCTGCCTTGTGCTGCGTGGTGGGGCAGACAGCCTGTAGGTATCTGCATGACATCTTGGCTTTCCATGTTGCCTCTGACAATGCCACATGCATGTGTGAGCACAAATGTTCTGTCTTGTGCCTTTTGAAAAATCTTAAGGCTTGTTCAAAAGGGTGGCAAGTGTAGTTCAAGTCTTTTGTTCCTCCTTTGCCTGATGACTGCAATCTGGGGACCAGGTGCAATTACACTGATTGGTAATCTCTAATTTGACAGATGATGACTCGTTCCTTTTGAAACCAATATATATACAGCCCATGATATATCAGTGATACAGATATCTCTGCTTGCTGCAAGAAGCAGTCTTGCTGGAAAATCTGCTTTTGTCTGATGTTTCAGCAACATTGGAACTCCATAAAACTACTGATAAACCCTTTGCATTGTGCATTAAAGTGGTTTCAACCACTGTATGCTTTCTTAAATAGTTTCAGGCCTAGACAGGACAGCAGACATGCCAAGGAAACAGGGCTGAGAGAAACAGAAATCCACCCATGTCCATTTTATTTCACCTGCTGAGTTACCAGGTGTGTTTTGACTGTTGGAGACTGGAGTTACCAAGGCTAAAGCATTGAATTACATTAACAAAAGAAAACAAGACCTGGAAAGTATCACTTGTGATACTGTGGTGAGGGTCTGCTGAAGCAGTGGAAATAATAAGGACAGGCTATAAATGTGTAAAAATATTGCTTAGGCAACCAGATGGCTTTATAAGATTAAATGACTTGTTACATCAGCAAGGACAGTGGTGGATATTCTCACACACTGCCTTTAGAATGGCTTCTGACGCAC